TATATATATATATATATATATATATATATATATATATATATATATATATATATATATATATATATATATATATATATATATATATATATATATATATATATATATATATTCTGCTTTATCTCATTTCTCATTAAATATTCTCAGTTTTTATCGCATAATATACACAGCGAGCATCGAGTAATGCATACATGAAGAGAAAAAGCAAGAGTGTCTTTTACACTTAATTTGCAGAGGTTAACTAATAAGCTTAAAATGGTGCAAATAACGTCAGTACCTATTGAACGGTGTAGTGGCAATATGAAAATGTTGGAAAGGAAGTGTGAAAGTAATTCGGCACAAGTTCTCCATTACAGCGGATATTTGGATAAGGTCTTTTGTTTGCCAAATTTAGAATTTGACAATAAATTGAACAAATAAGTATGAAATCAAGAGCGGATAATGCTACGTACTTATGGGTTTTGTTTACAGGTGTAGTTTTGAAATACTTTAGTGAACCGGTCAAGATAGATGGCATGGAGCATTGCTGATTGAGCACTGTTGCTGGATGTTTTTAATTGTTCTTTTCAAAGAGTTTTATTTTTATTCGTCTCAGAATGCAAACAACAAATCGCCGATTATTGAAAAAAGACGTAAATCTGCTTCGTTACATGCTTTACATCCGGATGACATGAAACCATTCAGTATAACAGATCAGTTAGGTGACCAACTGTCACATGAACTATTAAATGGAAGCAGCAGACGTGGCTCGAAAAGCTCAGAAATACAGGTTTATTTTTTTTAACAAAATTTCAGTAAACAGTGTCAAATGAAAGTGTTAATCTATGCAGTTTTAATTTAAAAAAAAAATTGGTGAAAAATCAAGAAATGAGTTTCTGATTAGGTGCCTTTTTTTTTAAATACTTGCTGATACAAAAATTTCTAAGGTAAAATGAGACCTAAAATTTCCACTTTTCTGAATTTTCAGCACTTCAAAATAAGCTTTGACATTTGATTCCTAAATTGGTAAATTTGATTCCAAATTTAAAAGTTTTTTGAAAAAAGGATTTCCAAAGTTTTTCGTTTTTCTTTCAGGATTCAGTTTCGGATACATTTTCTTGTGCAGGTCCAATCGAGACTGCAATTTCATACCACCAAAATGCTCCATCATTAACACGGTTCGATACAGACAATCGTGCTTTCGACGAACGCCTTGCTTTAGTAATCCAGGTAGAGTGTTCTGGCATACCTGTAGCCATCAAATGCAGTTGACTAAGATTACTTCAAATATTCTTTTTAACTTTTGACGACTAAAAATAAAACGTAGGTTTTTTTTTTTTAGAAAAAAGTACTTTGGTAAGTTTTATAACGCATAAAGGCTAATATTTTATAAAACCTGATTGGAAACACTTTGAATTTTACGAATATTTTCTTTCTCTCATACCGATTCAATCTAAAGGAATGACAAGTTCTATTTCTGCTATATTTTTGCAGAATTCAGATATTAATTTTAATCGTGGTTTCTGGATGCACAATGACTGGTTAAACAGATGGACCTTACGATTTAATGAAGTAAACATAGAAGAGCGGTATAGGGCGCATTTTTCAGAATCTGTCGATCGCCAATGGCCCAGTTGTGATGGCACAGGACCATGCAAAAATGTTTGCCTCCTTTCTGTTCATAAACACGAGTGATGCGTATAATATTTAAGTAGATAAAGATTAACAGATAATTACGAAGTATTTAAGAATGCAAACAAATTGTAGTGAATATTTCTTCTGGATTTAATTTTGCTATGTAAATAATGTTTGCCAAATATTTAAATAGATAAAAGTAACTCACGTATTTATTTTGCTTATTGAAGCTAAAATTTGCATGATGAAACAAGCAAAGGAAATTTTTGCAGACATCACAAACTGATAACTTGGACTTACATTATCGTTATTCGGGTGTATTTATTGATGTACTGGTAGCTGGGATGTTGCTCGTCATTTGTGCAGCTGCGATTCTTGTTTCGGGAATGTTAAATGCCATCTTCATTATTTATTTTACGGTCTCACTCTTTGCTACTGCATTGATTGTCATTGTCATTGGTATACCATTACTAAGGCGTCAGACAATTTTCCCGTTTATTAATCCTTGGACACCACGTCATGTTACAGGTTATGCTTTAGATTATAATACTTGTTTTCTATATCGTGATAAGCAAAACATGAAGAGATCGGAAGCATTCCTAGAATTATTAGTACTTTATTTATAAAGTGAATTATAAGAAATATTTTAACCGCTTAAAGTCATTTTCAGGTAGTCGTTTGGTATATAATATTACTGCACATTAGTTTAATTAATAGGTCAATTCCTATAATGCTTTCGGTTCCTTTTTTGTTACAAAAAGGAGTTTTTATAGAGTTTAGTTGCGAAATGATTTAAACTTTTACTTATTAGTTACCAGAAGTTTGTCACATTAACAAATGTAAATCAAGCAATTTGCTTTACTTATTAATTTCAGTCTTTGTCAACTTGCATTAGTCTTAATTTGGTTGTATATTTTCTAATGGAAAGGTTTTCATTAACAAAAAATTATGCTTCATTTAGGAATGGTACTTATATTATTACCGACAGGTGTTGCATTATCGGTAGCACCGTTATGTAATAATATTGTTGCACAGGAATATGTATGTGTTTCGTCAGATTTGCTTTCACAACGGATTTTGTTTTGTATGTTTTTTTTTTAATTTTTGGATTGTTTATACTTATTTCAAATCCTATTTTTTCAATTTTAAAAGTAATGTTTGATTGAATAAGGTTCTTATGAAACATCGGACTGGATACCTGATGCTTTAAGGCTAACTGCTCGATGGCTAACATTTAGAGTCTTTCTTTCGGAAACTCTTGTCATGCTATTCAGCATACTCGTATAACCTTACTTTATGTTTACGATCTTCGTAATAATTTCAACACTTTTTTTCCGACAAACTCGGATTCTTAAGCTTATATGTTGGATGCATGTAAGTATAGCATCATTTTTTTTAGCCTATGTATTTTTGGTTGCATTGTTTGCACATTGCAATTTTTCGCAACTCTCAGCTTGGCCAAAAACAGCTGAGGCATTGTTGGTCGGTTTCATATTTTTATGGCTCACTTATGTTTGCCAGTATCGCATTGGTACATTGGTCGACAAATGTAAGTTTTTCACATAAGAGATGAAGAACCACTTTTGTCACAGATTTTCACTCTTCGTAGAAACATAATTCCTTGTTAGACAAGGTATGATAAATGCATTTATATTAGGTCTTATTCCAAACAATTAAATTGAGCTTCAGAAAAAAATCTTGGAGTGTTGTAGCATCCAATAATCCAAATATTGGGCCACATTTCTGCAATGGTACCGTGCCTCTTTGGGCATCAGGACGATTCGGTTCCCCGATTAATTTGCCTGAAATTTCTCTTGATGTCTTTTTGGTTGTCGTTTTGGTCGCTTTTCTCAATTATCAGGCGAGATTTTTCATCCCATCTATTCAGTCAGAGGCGAAGCAAAATAGGATCAGTAAAAGGAGTTTAATAGAGTATATATCTTGTGATTACACAACTGCATACAGGAAATGACCGCATACTTGAACTTCCGTGAAAAGATTATTTCTGTGAAATAATCTTTCCACACTTTTCACAAAATAATCATTTTTTTTATTTTTTGGATTTTCGTGAAAAGGATACCAATCTTCTAGCATTTCCATATAATTTTCCCGCTGAATAATCTCTTAGTTCTCTGATAAAGTTGAAGACATACTGTCTGAAATGGTATTTACCATATGTAATTATTTGATTCTTCCAGTGAATTCCAGAAATTCCATTAACAGTTACTTCTCAGACAAAAACTTGAATGTTGCGATTTCGAAACCCTCAGCTTGAAGATAGTAATTTGATTTGTTAACTACTTTAGTTTGAAGCTGCATTTCGAATGTCTTTCTTCGGTGACGTACAAGCGCAACGTGACACGGTGCAAATGCAAGCGGTACGTGACCAAGCTGATTGGCTTTTAACTAATATCATCCCGCAACATGCCATCGATTCCCTGAAATCGAGTATTAGATACTCTGAAAATCATGCACTGACAGCGGTTCTCTTTGCTACGATCACTAATTGGAACGAAATGTACGAAGAGACTTTTGAGGGTTTGTTGCTTAATTTAAATTTTGAAAAAATCTAGTATTTTTGGCAGAGATTTATTCTTGAGAATGTTTTAATATATGTATATATTTGTATGTACATATTTTATATGTATGTATTTCAATATATGCATGTATTTTGATATATGCATTTGGGAGAGTCGTATGATTGTGTCTCACAGGAGACCTCGAGTAATTATTTTATGGATATATCAGGAGATCTATGTATGCAGACTGATGAATACTTGAGGCCTTAATGGTTTTCCATTATCAGCTTATGCATCTAACATTGGAATATCCAATATTCGCTGGAAAAATTTGTTAAATATTTCAGGAGGACGCGAATTTTTACGAGTGTTAAATGAGATTATTGGGGATTTTGATGAATTGCTGGATAGGCCTGACTTCTCACAGGTGGAAAAAATCAAAACTATTGGACCTACATATATGGCAGCAGCTGGATTGAATCCAGATCAAAGACGATCAGCCCAACATCCTCACGAGCATCTTTATCAGGTCAATGATTTTGCAAAAATGCAAGTTTGCTGCCGGTATTAAATTCTCGACAAATTTAAATTCAATTTTTGAAGAGCAGACAACCATTAAAAGTACCAAATGCTTGTTCCAGGAATCACGAAAGTTCATTTTATATTTTAATATCCATTACTCTAACTAACCGAAAGAGCGAAGGAAAAAATGAATAAACATCTTTAGCAAAACTTTTTTCAATGTGTTATTTTCTGTCCATTTGAAAATTCATTTTCATTTTTTTTAGTTGATGGAATTTGCAATCGGTTTACAACAACAACTGAACTATTTTAACCAGGATTTGTTAAATTTCGATTTTGTTTGCAAAATTGGCTATAACATTGGCCCGGTGACAGCTGGTGTTATCGGTACTACGAAACTATACTACGATATTTGGGGTGATACAGTGAATATTGCTTCCAGAATGTATAGTACAGGTGTACAGAATCGAATACAGGTCGTATTCCTTTCTTGTTCTACTTTTTTTCGCTTTCTAACTTAGATATGGTTCAAGAATTACATTGATAACTTTTCTTTTTGGAATAAGACTGTTGGGTAAGCAGAATTTTGAAAGTACTTTGAAAATTTGAGGATTATTCGCTGGAGTTCTCAGGACATCAGGTTGTTTAGTGTGCTTTTTCCTTCGATGATAATTTAACAGCACTGGGAGGATGATGTACAAGTATTATAGTGGAAATTTCCTGTCCTCACATTTCTACACACTGATAAACTCATGTTAGTACTAGAAATCCCAAACAAAAATAAGCGACAAAATTAAATGTATCTCAGAAAGCCATAGAACTTTTGCTTCTATAACTTCTGTTATAATAAGTCATTCATAAATTTAATACCTATAGGTATCTCAGAAAACTCGAGATTTGCTATGTGATCGTTACGACTTTGAATACCGTGATCATATTGAAGTAAAAGGAGTGGATGGTGGCATGGATACTTATTTATTGGTTGGTCGGAAGGGCGAACCACCAGTGAATTTTACGATTACTTAATCTTCCTGATTTTCTTCTTACTTTCCTGGTAATGTCAACACTTTTGTTTGACTATCTTTTTGTCAACAGTTTCGTGTGACTTTATTTTTTTATGTTTCAAACACAAACTAAGTATTAAAAACGTTGATTCAGCGGTTTCCGCATGTTGGGATAAATTAGAGGTATTCCAAGAGGAGAGATATTTCAAGAGAAGAGATAACTCTTGGAAAGATAGAAACTTCCCTCACTTTACTCTGTTCAAAGAAAAAAAATGATATGAGTCAATAATGTAACTAAATACTTCAAATATTTTGAATAATATGTAGTTATGACGACCGTCCATGACTTATGAGTATTTCGAAATTGACAAATGTGCAATTCAAACATTTTTTAAACACTAAGATAGCTAACATCTGTGGCAAACCCATGTTAAGTGGAAGTTTTCTAAGAATAAGTTTCCTAAGTACAATAAGCCAGGCAATGGTCTACAGTAATACAATTTATTCGAAATGATATGGGAGAAAAATTCGTGATGTTCCCTTCTATTGAATACAGATTTGCCCAAAGTTTCGACCCTGTTAATTTGTATTGACGATTTATGAAGTCATCAGTTGTTCCTTTCAGTGAAATATGAAAAATTACTAAATGCTTCTTGATTTGACAGATTTCAAGAGCATAAAACTATGCCATAACCTTAACATTTCCCTTAGATTTAATTCATGTGTGCTCATAAACTTTCAAATGTCAAATTCGTTTTTCTAATATGTCTGTTAATAAATAAACTGCTAGTGATTTTAACTGCTAATAATTCCTTTCCCACTCCAATTGCTCGTTTTATTTCATTTAAACTTTTTTTTTCTTTCATTGTAATCAGAGTTTCAGCATTAGTCATTACGTATCGGATTCATTTTTCAACAACTATTAATTCTTATTTTAATTTACATGAAAGCAAAATTTTCTGAACAAAGTTCAAAGTTCAGAGTTCAAATACTTTTTGTATTTACAATTTCTAACCATAAATTTTATTGATGTTAATAAATTATCTGAAAAAGGTCGACGATCAATTGTCAAATCATTTTTCCTAATTTATCTGCTAATAAACTACAAGATGACACGGTAATAGGATACTTTCGAGAATGAAAAGTATATCTCTGTTTGACTACGCACCGACCGATGCTTCCCTTCATATATCAGTTTTCTGGCCAAATTTGATTGTGACGGATTTATGGATCATGGCAGATATTCTCATTTACATAGCAGATATTTTTGTTCACAAATGCTTATTGTTTCAGGTGTGATGCGTGTAACTTTGGACAACAACCGGTTAAATTGAATCTCAAATTCGAATTCTTTTCCTATTTTAATC